TGGATTTGTAAACAATAAAAACATAATTTCTATTCACCTTTCCTATAAATTTGAATCAACAAAGCAGAAATTCAACAGAGAGTAACCCTAACTTACGAGATCCAGGCCTGTGGACATCAAACATGTTTGTATCGAAACAACAACCAGATCTAAGTTCCCACTTACCAGAATTAGATTCCTCATCACCACTTGATAAATCATCCTCATCGTCATCTCTTGATCCAAAATATGAATCCACAACTTCATGGTATGCTTCTGAATCGGCTCGATTTAAATTTAAAAGCTTTGCAATCTCATCATCGGTGCTAAACACGGAGCTCGCCATCCTGAACGTTCATCAACTGCATGAAGTGTGATGAGTGAAACAAAACTCGCGCGGTTGGGAGAGAAGTTTCTTTGTCTATGAATAAACTTGATAAAACTAAGATAAACTATATAATTATCATTTTCTAAATATAAAGTTATAAGTTTTGCATCAATTAAAGTGAGCAAAACGGGTTTTTGATGGCAGTATTTGCCTCAGAATGTCGGACTTTTCAACGAGATGCGGAATACCACAGGTCACCTGTGTAAATTGGATGCGCACTACTTGTACATGTCACGTATTTATGCGCAAACGTCATAGTTAAAAAGTAGAACGAAAGACCTTTGTTTTGGTATGAGGCACGACCTAGTTTTACATTATGAGCGTGTTCAAATCGCGTAATGGAATCGGGGGTTTGACAGACAAAATCAGGTGCTATTTTTCCTCATCGGTGCTGAAAACCTTAATTAGGGGGACTTCAAATTACACTTTGAAAATACATTTCTAAACTGATTTAAAGAATAAGATTAAAAGAAAATGAAAGATAAATGAATGAAGAAACCAATCATGATAATATCTCAAATTCGACCAAAATGATGAAATTTGACTTTGGAAGCACATAGCTCAAGACTAGAGCCAGCGACTTCCGACGGGTTATCCCAGACGGCCACACATATCTACTTGAAAGCTGTTGGTGCAAGAAAAATTGTTTCCGTTAATTTTGATTATGCTTTACGTTAATCCTCTTTCCTAACTCGCCCATACACCTGCCTTCATACTTTGCTATTTCTCCTCTCAGATTTCTCCTTCCAGGTCTATTTGTGTCATGACGTGGTGGTATCAGGCGCTCGTCAATTTTTGGGTACATGAAGTTATTGGTATCATCATAAAGCTTGTTCATTTGTCTTGCTTTCGTTGAAAAAATTACACATCTATCATAAATAGGAGTTGAGATATTTATTGCAAATTTGAAGGAGAAGGTGTTGCTTGGTTTCAGAAGTAAAATTAGCCAGAAAATGGTCGACAAAGTTTGGTGATTACCAAAGTTTAAGAGTCCTTAGAAAATACAAATTTACATCTTTTGTGCCTTTGATCAATGTTTTTCAGTAAAATCCACACATGACTGTATATGGACATTAAAGATGTTGAGCCAAAAAAAGAAAATTCAGGAAAAAATTGCCCAACGTCCATAAAGATGCAGACTTCTTTGATTTCATTATTTTGACGAGCACTTGATTTCTCCACATTTTATCATCATTCTTTTGTATGTCGTTTCCCAACCCCTTGTATCCTCACTCCTTCCCCCTTTCTTGTATTTAGTCACTGCCTTGAGCTACTATTGTGAAGTGGCAGATCTTGCTTACTTGTAGCAGTCTAGTCATGGTGGTTCCACTGACTAGAAACCTTTCCTCAAAGTGATGTTAGCACTTTGTTACTGAATCAGTTAACTGACCAGTTATGACCGTCCGTTCTGCTTCATTTTTCCTTGAGCCTTTCTCAGGCAGTAAAGAAGAATAGGAGAGTAGATCATGAGGAGCCTTCCCAGACAAGGGCTGTAAAGAATGAAATTTTGCATCAAAATTTCACTTTTTACGGCGACTTTATACCTTCGTTCTCAGTACCTTGTCTCTTGCTTTATTTGGCTCAAAGTTAGAGGAAAAAATGTGATAAAACTGGCAGTCAAACTTGATGTGAGGACTCTCTTAATCAGTTCTGTACAGTTGGATATTGTTTATAATACAGTACAATACTGAATTTTTCCTCTCTCATTTGCATGATTAGTGCCATTGTTTGTTCAGGTCCATCCATTTGGTCATATTATTTATTCTGAGATTATGAATGGTGTAATCTTTTCAGTAGGGCCTACAATGTAAAGGTTTGAGGTCAGCATAGGATGCTCCGTTTCAAAATATTAAATGACATAATATCATGGAGCTGTGCATTCAGGCTCCTCTGCAACACTTGTGCTGTGATTTTCCAGTTTTTGTGTGAATGCGTGTGTGTGGTTTTGTTTGTGTGTGCGGGGTTTTTTTTGTGGTGGCATAGGCCTATATATATACATATACACCTGTATATTTATGGTTTCATCATGTTCAGTTCAGCTTCTAAGGGCTTGCCTTATGAATTACTTTGTGCTAATGTATTCCAATTAATCAAATCATTTTTGTATGTCATGTAAACTTGGCCAATGATAAGCGGTTTGTGCTGTTGGCACTAAACTGTCTTACGGGTTGCTGATGGGCGCTCTGGTGTGGTCTGCTCTTACTGCTTATTTAAATATCATTCATTTCTTCTTTTTTTTTTTTCTTTCTTGAAATGTGTCCATTTGAGTGCTGACTTGCCTTTTTCTTCTCCTCAACTACTGTTTGTCCTTCTTGGGGCAGTAAGTTACAGTGCTGGTTCAGTGTAAAATACAACCCAAGAACAATGTGTGAATCAAACTACTTGAGTGTGTTACTTTCATTGAACAGGAGTGATAATAAGTCCTGTATGCTGTTTATCTTTTTGTCAATAAGCATTTATAGGTGCCCAACTGTGATTGATGTGCTTCTGATTTAGACTAAACTTAGAACTAACATGTCAAAAGCCAATCTGGAATTTTATTTTAGTGACTAGTTATTAATGAAAATATGAAATTGTTTTCTAATTATTTGCAATGTCCAAAGCTAATTTTGTATTTTTTGCCATGTGTAAGAATTCTTCATGTGGATGAATGCCGTGCATTCTGTTGCAGTCTTTTAAACATTTTTTTCTCTAGAGAGATGGCTAGCTTTTGCTCTGTGGTGTTTGCCATACATTGTATACTCTGATGTGATGGAAAAATGGGACCATGTTATGTCAGCTTACATTACTTAATGTGGGAAAGTCAAATTGCTCAGTTAAGACATCAAAGTAGTTAAGAGGCTTGTGAATGTGTTGAGAATGTTGTGACTCGATTTTCAGATTCCAAAATGTTCTATGTGTATGTGGGTGAAATGTGTGTCGGTCTAAGCAAAAGAGACAGGAGTTTAGCCAAGTGTTATTTTTGTTTTTATGGACATTTTTAACTTAAGGGGAGACAATGACTTTCAATTCACACCTAAGAGGTTGGTCTGATACTGAAGTATAGATTTTCAAGTTTTTCATCTCTCAACAGATAAATATTATATTCTGAACTCTGAACTAAGTCCCAAACTCCTAAAATGAGTAGAAAAGGGATTGAAATAGGTTTGATCAGACTAAAGATCTTAAATATTTTAAATACTGACCCGAAATTATCCCCAATTTGACCCACTGTAGGAACTGAATGGGACTGAAGGGTTGTAGAGCCCAACAGAGCATCTCATTTCACTCTTTATATCCCCAGGAACCCTCTCAAAACTGTATTTCAGTTGTACTTTAAAAAAGTCATGTCTCAGAAGTAGGCCTATCTCCTCTTAAGATCTTGAAACATTTGAAAGTTAGATTGTATATCAGAGGTGCATTGGCAAGGCCTGCTCTTTATAATTTTTCTGTTAATTCTCCTTTGAGAGATTTTACTGAACTAAAAATGAGGGCAGTATGGTCAGCATAATCTATTGCATGTTCTATGTATTGTCTTCAAGATTCAAGGTTCCTTTTGAACTGTAAATTATGTTTTGTTTAAATGCATTGGAAATTTTTTGCTCAATGACACTGTTAAACACTAAAATGTTCATTTTTTTTCATGCACCCTAGTTCAATGCGACACTATGTAAGTACTTCTCTTTTAAAATAAAATTTAATATAATGTTTAGACTCGAGTTTAATTGTCTTGGGTTAACAGTGATTAGGCAAGGGAACACCTATATTTTGCCAAGACATTGGTACCAGTGTGAAAACCTTCATCTGTAGGCAGGTAGAATGTCATGTTTTGCGGACCTTTAATTTTGCCTTGGTAACTGTCTCAGTCCCTTGTATGAAGAGAACCAATGAAAGTCTGGATTATGTCGTGTAGATGTGCGCCTGTGTTCAGACATGAAAGTCTTGGATTTGAGTCTCACTTTATGGTGTTTGAAAGATTGAATTCAGGATTCTATTTTTTTTTATCAGTTCCTTAGACTCTGCCTTATGGCTTCGTACAGTTCCATCTCAGGAATATCCTGAATGTGCTGAATGCAATGTAAGACGTAATTACTATTTTTTAAAAATGTCTTAATATACAGTTGTCTCCACCAAAATGCACTATGCTCTGGAGGACTCCTAAACATGCATTTACACGGAGCATGCATTTATGTGAACTGTGCAAAGGGGGAAAAGGATTGCAACCACGTCATTTCCTTGATATTTTTATATTACTGTTACCATTCTTGTGGGGTTGGGGTCACTTTCACCAATAATGCGACAAAACATGACAATGGGGAAGTGACCATACTTAAGTATAAAAATATCTAAATTATTTAGTAATTTAAATCATTTTAAAACTATCATATGACGAGAGCGTGCTTTTGAGTGGAGTGTGCCTTTGTATGATGTGTGTTTAGGTGGAGACTACTGGAATGCTTTCTGTTCCGAAGAAATCTTGCTTAAATAGTTGAGATTCTGTGTTCTTGAACATCCCTCTCTCAGTCACCTGTTCACACATGAGTTTCAGGTTTATTTTAAGTGATACAGTCGGTGATGAGCAGCTTTTGCTTTATTTTTATCATTGTTCCTCACAACGCATATTCTATTATCATGTTACTGAGAACTTATTCTGGTTTTTCCAGATTTCTAATTTTCATTCAGACCAAACTGTTCCAAACTTACTGTTGTTTTAACATACTCAAATTCCCACTTTCAATGGAAAAAAAAAGTTTTCCATTACTCTTTTCTGATGCCAGGTATCATAAAATGAGCAATGATCACTACATAATATCTGTTGTGGTGTTTACATGTATAATTTATATATATATGTGGTTGATTAATGTTTTTTCTTGTTGTGAAGTTCAACCTGACAGAAATTGTAAATATAAAAAGGTTCAAAGGTTCCTGTCATTTGATATTTGCACTCATGTATTAAGTGCTCTCGGTATATTAGTCAGTGTGTTTCTACAATGGTATTTGCAGCTGTTTGACAATGTGGCATGATGTCTGACATTTAAATGAATCATTATTTTGTGGGAAACCGGTTTCTTTGAGTGAAGGCTCTTTAGAAATGTTCTATACTTTTAAAAGAGAACGAGAGAGAGAGAGAGGGGGGGGGGACCGACAGACTAACAGATACAGACACACAGACAGACAGATTGGGGGGGGGGGGGGGGGGGGGATAAAGAGAGAGAGCGTGTTTCTTTTTGCTCATGAGGGTGGTTGTCTAAGTGAATTTTGTAGGTTTGCTTACATTGTAATTGTAACTTTGGATTATGAATGGGGAGATGTTTTTGTATCAATAATGCTGTAATTGGTATGTCTTTGTCCACTGTGTCATTTTCATTGCTATGCCTATATTGATTTTTTTAGTACTCTGTAATTGAATGCATTGATGCGTCCAAAACTTGCATAAATTAAACATTAAACAAAAATCTCCTTTTTTTTTGGTCTTTTCCAAAATTTGTGTTGTTTTGGGTTTTTTTGATAATATTCTGATAATGTGGCTTTATTTATTTTGTGGAAATGGTGAATTGGTATAGGTTTCATGCCCCTATTAACGCTATTAGTAGGTTATTTAAGAAGCAAGACCTCCGAGTTTAACTTCCATCTCCGAAAGGACGGAGCCAAATGGGAAATTTGTGTAAAATGCCTTTCTCAAGGACACAATGTCGGACCGAGCTGAGGCTCTAACCCCCGAACCCGCAATCTCGCAATTATGAGTCCTGCTGCCTAACCACTAGGCTACCGACGCTATTATTTATTTTGTAAAGAACCCCCGCCCCCAAGAAAATTGCTTCCCATCTAAAGAAAAGTAGAAACTCAGAGCATGGTATCTGTGCTCCTTGTTTCTATCAGACATCTATTATCCATGTCTCTCCTCCTCCTTTTTTTTGTTTGTTACTCTAGTTTTAGTAGAGGTTTTGTAGCGCTCGAAACTGCCTACGGTCATATGAGCGCCAAAAGATTAGAAGTGTGACAAGAGAGTAACAAACATAAAAAAGAAGAAGGGGAGATAAGGACGATAGATGTTTGATAGGAAAGAAGAAGCAAACAACACCAGAGCATCGGCCAACCACCCACTTTGTTACTCTCTTATAACACATCTAATCTTCGGCCATTATATATGACCTTAGGCTACTGTGTTGCAAGTGCTGTAAAACTCTTATATTACTTAAACAAAAACAGCAACTCTGTGTAAGGCTGATTTTTTACTTTATAATCTGTACACAGATTTATTGTTCCTCTCCTCGAAGCATCACATCAGGTCATGTGGCCTTTTTTTAGAGAACTTAATGGTGTAAAAAGAAGGGGAGTGAAAGTCGAACTATGTCGACACAGCAAAGTTGCAGTGTGATTTTTCTGTGTTGATTGATCTCTTTATTCAGTCAAAGAGAAGCTAGGTCCCTTATGCAGTTGCAAGCGCCGTAAAAATCTACTAAAGCTAGAAGAGAAGGTCCAAATGCCTGGAGCTTAATGGCAGTAACTGCTGTCTTTTTGACTAAATCAGGGTACCATTGGGCAAAAGTGGCATTGCTGAATTATGTCATGTCCATTCTTGTATATTTATAGTATAGTTGAAACTATTTAAAGCAGCCACCTATTGTTGAGGAGAAAAGCAATCGTCTTAGATAGGTGGTCATCTTAAACAGGGTCGTAATCTAATGTAAAAGTATTCAAGCTAGGAAAAAGGTAAATAAATAGGCGTTTGTTCAGGTGATTGTCTTATACAGGTGGCTGTTACTACTTTTAGAACAAGTTTGATTGCACTTTCTTAATACACCACACACACATACATGTCCTTTTGTTACACCGCAGAATATCTGAGAAGAGGAGCTGGGCAGAGAACAGAACAGTATGCCATCTTCAAGGAATATTACAAGGTGCAGATGCAGATCAGAGCCTATTTTGACAAATTACAATGGTGAATAGTGGTGTCGAAATGTTTTACGCTTCCATTTACACAATTTAGAATATCTGGAAGGCTCTCATTTTCGACCCTACTTGTCCAAGTCAAACCATGCTGAGAGGGACACGGAGTCTCAAAAGAAAGACTGAAGTACTTCAGAGTGAACTGCCTATAGGGGAATAGAACTGATGTTTTCTGCATCGACCAAGAGCCATAAAAAATTAGAGCGGGTGTTTGTAGAACCTGAAATGGATCTCCTTGAATTTAGAAAGATGGCGGGGAAAAGCAGGGGTTAGGGGTGAATTAGTACCAGAGTCGTGACTTTCTTTATATTGAACTTTATAATAGGCCTATTTAGTGAATTTTTGAGAATTATGATATGTGATACGAAGGGGGGCCTCTGTAGTTTTATTACGAGTATAATGTTTTTGTCAAACATGTAGCCTAACTACAAGTGCAGTAACGAGTTCAGTTAAATTTGAGTATCGTTCATGACAATCTTGAGTGGATTGGAGCACCCATTGCCTACAAACAAATCACATTTTAATTTAGAGCTGGGAAAGCACGACAAACATCTTTTTTTTAAATTAAATGAAGTGTGATGAAACTCATCGTGTCAGCGAGAAGTGCGCATTCGGAACCTCACTTCCTGTAGGCCTAAGCAAAGTACGGATCATCCGCCATCATCACCAAAACGAAAACAATCAAATTCCAAGATGGCTGACTTTGACTGGCCCTGGCAGTACAAGTTCCCCCCGTTTTTCTCGTGAGTTTTTATTAATTTTGGAATTTTTGCAGAATCAGACCTTTCTTTTGTGGACTGTTGAACTGATTTTGCTGGGGATTCATGGGGTTTGCCCCGTTGACGTCGTACAAATGTGAGGCAGCGTGGTGGAATCAGGTTCTCGTCAATTTTTGGGCATGTAGAATGTAGATCTAGAATCTAGATCTAGATCTAGATCTAGATTCTAGATCTAGATTCTAGTCTAGAATCTACTAGATCTAGATATAGATATAGATATAGGTTAGGGTAAGATTGTACTTTACCGGACCACCGGTCGGAACTACTTTCGCTGTGGCGCCCCTGGTGCCTAGTGGCCCGCTGTTCTTCGTTTCCGAGCTCCCCTACTCACTCTCCTACTCAGTTTTCTACGTCCTCACTCTTCAACTGCCAGCAATCGACTGCCGTCTCTTACCGGGTTTTTCAGTCATCACGACCGTGCCACTGTGCCCTTTGACCCACGACCCTGACACCTTGAGGCTAATTGGTCAATCTAATCACGTGGTCCACTATTCTTATTTGCTCGCGACTCTGCTGGCTTGGCCTAGGCCCTAGGCCTACTCCTGGTCCGGCAAAGTACAATGGAGGGCTAGAGATGGGCACGAGAGCTCATTTGCATAATTGCAACCCCATTGGCCCTGCTCGCGACTTATCATGCTATTGTTTATATGTGTGTGTGTGAGTGTCTTTAAATTATTGTTGCCAGGGGGGCTAGCCCCCCTGAACCCCCCCACCCCACTGTTGGTATGATACACGGTGGTCCACCAAAGTTAAATCCCCTGCCCACTCTCAACCACCACCACCTCTCGCTCACCTCGCCTCGCCAGTCGCCGCTGACTTCGCTGTGCGTGCGCGAAGTTGCCCGCGGAACTACCTTTTGTCCGCACGCAGAGTACTATGAGATCGTAGTTAGGCTAGGCGTGCGTAGTAATCACGGGCCGAGACGGGTGGTCCGGTAAAGTACAATCCAGCCTAGGTTAGAATCTAGATTCTAGATATGCTTCTTCACTTGTCTTTATTTCGATTAAAAAAATATCCATTGATCTTGAATACAAGTCGAGATATTTGCGAAAGAAGGGGTTGGGGGTCACTTGTTTTAAGAAGTAAAATTAGTGAGAAAATGCCCGCCCAAGATTAGTTATAAATTTCCTTGGCCACCTCTATACACGGGGTGGGAATAGCGCAGGCGAGTCTTTTGGCTATTTTCACCCGGTGGGCGTTCACTGATAGCCTAGGCCAACCAGGGAAGCGTTCACCCTGAACCACATAATTCTACACTGATAACATATTTATAGAATTCTGTGCTGTCAACAAACGTTCTAGATCTAGGTCTAGATATCTAGATCTATTACTAGATAGATCTACTGTTAGTGTTAGCCTAAAAGCGTGCAATTTTGTCTGAGGGCAGTGGAGAGAGAGAAAGAGAGAGAGGAGTAGCATGAGAATTTCCGGGCAAAACAAAATGGCGACCCGCGTAGTTCGGCTCGATTCGGAAAGTTAAATAGCGGTAGGCATCTTTGGAGACAACCAAATTAATTTTGTTTTGTTTTGTTAACATCATTTTAAAACTTTGTTTTGGTCAATTTGATCGTCCACACCGATAGACAGTATTCAGAAAGAGAGAGAGGGGGGAGGAGTAGATCTTGCGAGAACTTCCGGGCAAAACAAAATGGCGACCCGCATAGTTCGGCTTGATTCGAAAAGTGAAATAGCCATAGCATCTTTGAAGACGATTAAATTAGCTTACTTTTGTGCTATGACGTAATTTTTTCTTGGCTTTTATCAATTTGATCATCCACACCGATAGACAGTATTCCAAAATGGGGAAAAACAGGTTTTGTTTCACACCAGGTGAGAATAGCCTATGCCTACGCTGGCAAGTCTCACCCGGGGTGAGAGGTAGATCGTATTTTTATTCTCACCCCAGGTGAGAATAGCCACTTCCTCTCACCCCGGGTGAGAATAGCACAGGCGAGTCTTTTGGCTATTCTCACAGTCACCCGGTGGGGGTTCACCATTATAGCCTAGCCAACCAGTGAAGCGTTCACCCTGAACCACAGAATTCTACACTGTGATAACAGAATTATAGAATTCTGTGCTGTGAACAAACGTTCTAGATCAAGATCTATTACTACTGTTAGTGTTAGCCTAAAAGCGTGCAATTTGTCTGTGGGCAGTGGAGAGAGAGAGCAGTAGCGCGAGAACTTCCGGCCAAAACAAAATGGCGACCCGCGTAGTTCGGCTCGATTCGGAAAGTTAAATAGCCGTAGCATCTTTGTAGACAACCAAATTAAATTTGTTTTGTTTTTTAACATCATTTTTTAACTTTGTTTTGGTCAATTTGATCGTCCACACCGATAGACAGTATTCAGAAAGAGAGAGAGAGGGAGGAGTAGATCTTGCGAGAACTTCCGGGCAAAACAAAATGGCGACCCGCGTAGTTCGGCTCGATTCGAAAAGTGAAATAGCCATAGCATCTTTGAAGACAATCAAATTAGCTGACTTTTGTGCTATAACGTAATTTTTTCTTGGCTTTTATCAATTTGATCATCCACACCGATAGACAGTATTCCAAAATGAGGAAAAACAGGTTTTGTTTCACACCGGGTGAGAATAGCCTACGCTGGCAAGTCTCACCCGGGGTGAGAGGTAGATCGTATTTTTATTCTCACCCCGGGTGAGAATAGCCACTTCCTATTTCCTTAGCTTAGTAGAGTCTGTGGTAACTGACAATGACAATTTACATTTGTTGTGCCTTTAATTAACGTTTTTCAGAAAAAAATACGCACAGAAATGAGTTCTTTAATGCACATGAAAGGTGTTGAGCCAAAAAACAAAAATTAGAAAAATATTCACAAACCTGGGGAAAAATGCACACTTTTTCTCTTTGATTATTTTGACGAGTGCCTGATTCCACCACGCTGCCTCACAAATACGCTTTAATATGGGGCTTTCTGGGGGTTTGCCTTCCTCCTGTCTCAAACTGAGTCAGTGAGTAGTGTGTAGATCTTTCACTACTTTCAGATCAACCTAATAATTTCAGAACGAAGTGACTACAGTCGAACCTGTGTAAGACGGAATCGGAAGGGAGCCAGAAAAAATTCCGTCTGAGGAGAATTTAGGGGGAGATGGAGGTTGGGAGGGGGGGGTTCAAAGACCCAGCCGGTGGGATCAAGGATCGCTTGTCCGATCGGCAAGCAGTGGTCAAAACTTCACACCTCTCATTTGCTATCATGTCTGATAATGACATGCGTCAGTCTTACTTTAAATATCCAATTACCACCAGTGCTTGCCTTTCATAGGACCACTGTTTGACCTACAGTGGAACCTGCCTTAACGGAAACCTGTGTAAAACGGAAACCTGTCTTAACGGAATCTCCCTGCTCCCCCCTTGATATCCTCTTTGGCTGTAGTTATTCGCACAGAGTGTGTGAATACTATGAAATTTTATTCGCACAGGGTGTGTGAATACTATGAAGTTATATTCGCACAGGGTGTTTCAAAAGAGGGATGGAAATCGGCCAACCATTTCCTCATTTTTTTCCCTCATCGCGCAAGGACAAAGATCATAGGGGCTGGATTGAACTTTGGTGGACATACCATGTTTATATATGCGCACTACGCAAACAACGGACTTATACTTATTATACAGTCATGGGTCCTAATCGACCGCTACGCAAACTAGTTCCCGGCGACGCGAGGCAAAGTGAGTGAGGGCTGCGAGAATACCACGAGAGAGAGAGATAGAGCGAGAGAAGGGGGGACGAAACAAAGTTGTAAACGGACCTGTTATCCGAATCATTGAAGAGATCAAAGTCCGGAATATCTAGGCATTGGGTGAGGACGTTTACCGCAGGAACAGGCGCAGGGTTCTCACTATTATATATTACTTGATCCCATCCACTGTTTCTTTTTAGGAGGAGGCAGTGGAGGGAGACCAGAAGTGGAGGATTGACCAGCAGGTTCCTGATTTTCTTGATTACATGTCGTAGGCTTATTTTTGCTCCTTTTCTTTTGAGGGGGAGGCAGCGGAGGGAGACCAGAAGTAGAGGATGGACCAGCAGGTTCCTGATTTTCTGAATTAGTCGTAGTACGCTAATTTTTGGTGGACCGCACATTCAGCACTTAAGTTATTAGGATACTTATTATAGATCTAGTATTCAACAGTCGGGGGGGGGGGGGGGTGCCACATGCAAATCAATTACAATAAACAGAGAAAAGTGGACCAGGAACATTTTATAGTTTGCTCTGCCCAAGAACTTTACTTTAGTGGACCCACATTGCCAGCCTAGGCTAGGCCTAAGAGGTACCATGAGACTAATGCGAGACGATAAAGGCGCGGGTGAAGTTTACCAGACCAGTGAAAAGAGGGGGAGACATGGTGGAGGTATCTAGATTCATTTCTAACGTGTACTGTAGGCTCTCTTCTCAATTTAAGTTCAGACTTTTCTTCTCTTCGTTTACTTGGGCCAAGACTTGACCGTAGCCTAGATTCTAGAAGAAATGAAGAATTGGGAAGGATTTTTACCTGTCCTGTACCGTAGTCTCCAAAATCCGTATTAGATCTAGATCTAATGTACATGATGAATAACAAGCAAGCATAGAATGACCATTCCTTTCTTTTTAAAAAAATTCTTCCACTCACACCAGAATCTACTCTTAAATATCTAGATCTACATTAGATAAAGAAAAATACATGTGTATAGTCTAGTATTTAGTAACCCATTATCATCATGCCCATGTAGATCATTGTGGGAACAATAGATCTAGACATCTAATGGGCCTCTCTGTTCTCAGTGTCACTGGGAATAGTGTCTTGGCCTCATCCCTGTGACACGGGAACAATTCTGGCCTATTCCCAGTGCTTTCCAAAATTAAAACCCTTTGCCTAAAACTAAAGGTGGGATACCTGGGTGTGACAAATGAGGTCCAAAATCAACTTTATGTAGTAACTCTGTAGTAATACATCATATTATTTATGGCCGAATGATTGCAGTTTTACTTTAAGGACTGTTTACAAATGACCCCATCCCTCTTGTCATCTTTCCCAGGACACAAGTCAACCAAAATGTACACATGTGTACATTTAGATAGAACCTCTACAGGGTGCATTTTATATTTGCACCTTTGATCTTTTTTCTTTTTAAAAAAATTGTTTATTAATTTAAAGAATACAATAATGGTGGCGCTGCCCCTGCTTGCACTGGAACCCGATCGACTGATACATGTAAACAGCACTCAAGGGGTCTGTTCGGCCAATTTTGGTGGATCGTGTCACCACAAATTTTGTGTTATTAGTTCTTTCATACTCTTTCAAAGCCTCTGTGAACTCTGAAAAGCTCTTGAACTTGGCTCCCACTTCCATGCTGAATAGATCTAGAAAAACTAGAACTAGGTGTTGAGTAATTTCAGATTTGCGATGCAATAGCTTTGGGGCCAACAGAACGCTACTGGCAAGGTTCCCTCAGGGCTCTGTTTTGAAAAATGAAAGTGCCACGCAGGTAAGCTTCTTATATAGGCCAAGACCGCCTAGTTTCGCGGACTCTCGCGTCATTTGCCAGTCTCGCGCAGCGTTCGCAGCGCGCAAAGATCTCGCGCAGCGCACAGGTCGGGTCGACCTTGTGCGAATATAATTATTTCTTATTCGCACACCCGGTGCGAATAACCACTTCCATCCTCTTTAATTACCTGTATAAAACGGAAACCTGTCCAACGCGGAAACGGAAAGAAAAATCCGCTCCCTTCCGAGGGTTTCACCTGTCTAAGACGGAAAATGCTTTGCCCGCTCAGCCCTGATTTGAAATAAAGCTCCGTTTGGGGTTCCGCCGACTCTAAACTTAACGCCATGGCCATGCCAGTGGGTGAGGAAGGGGAGTAGGGGTGCTATTTGGGGGTAGATGTTACCCCATCATGAGAGCACTGAGCGATGCAGATGGTCAGTATAGTGTGTGTGTGAAATCTCATGACTGCCCGTGAAAGTGCTCGAGTAGCGAGCCACTACGGAAACTCTCCTGGGTCCAGAAGCCAGAGGTGTGAAATTAGATTTGACCAATGCCTGCTGCCCTGATCGTACGGCCACCCCAGAAAAGAGTTCCTCGAATCGTTGTTACAATGATGGCAGTGAGGGGTGGCATTGGTGGGTGGGGCTAAGGATGGAAGCAAGGGAGATGTTCAAACGTTTCTGTTTTTAATAGGCCAAACAGTTGTCCTATGAAAGGCAAGCACTGGTGGTAATTGGATACGTAAGACTGACGCTTGTCATTATCAGACAGGATAGCAGCTGCTGAGAGATGTGAAGTTTTGACCTTTGCTTGCCGATCGGACAAGCGATCCTTGATCCCACCGGCTGGGCCTTTGAACCCCCCACCTTCACCTCCCCCCTAAATTCCCCTGTCTGAGACGGAAAATGTCAAAGACAGAATTTTTCCCGCTCCCTTGCGATTCCGTCTTACACAGGTTCGACTGTATTTAAAACAGAAACGTTTTAACATCTCCTTAGGTTCCACCCTTAGCCCCACCCACCAATGCCACCCCTCATCATTGTAACAACGATTCGAGGAACTCTTTTCTCGGCTGGCCGTGCGATCAGGGTGGCAGGCGTTGGTCGATCTAATTTCACACCTCTGGCTTCTGGCTACCCAGGAAAGTTTCCGTAGTGGCTCGCTATTCAAGCACTCTCCCGGGCAGTCGTGAGATTTCACACCTACACTACACTGGCCATCTGCATCGCTCAGGGCTCACATGATAGGGTAACATCTACCCCCAAATTGCACCCTACTCCCCTTCCTTGCCCAACGACATTGCCATAGCATTAAGTTTAGAGTCAGCGGAACCAAACTTGCGAGTTCGACTGTATTCGGACTCGAGTCCGAATAGAGAAAAATTATATTCAGACTCCGGATTGAATCCAGCATGAGGTCCGTTCTGACTTCCGTCCGACCTTTGTTCTTAAAAATATTTCCAGCATTTATACATTTTTTCTATTATAATCAGTAATAATAACATTTCAGTAAAGACGTGAGCTTTAACCCTTGTCCTGCGGGGGCCGGGTTTATGTCGCCCGATAAGTCTATTTCGGCACCTCGCCTGCGTTCTAGTCCCAAGTCAATCTAGCCCCTGACTCGAGTCCGATAAGATAAAAATTACATTTCAGAAAGTTCTCTTCCAGTACTGACTTCATTCCGAGGGAAAAAAACATCCACTTGTCAACACTGTCCCCTTAAAGTGAAAATAAAAGTAAGCATCTTGTCGGGAACCAGTTTGACTGAATCTTTTGATTTGAATAGGGACTTCGGACATTATAATTGTGCTGTTGAGAGGGTAAAATTTATGATACTGAATGCTATGCATCGGCTTCTTTTTGCAGGATTCAGCCAAACATTGAGACGAGGAAGAAGCAGCTGGAAGCATGGTGTACTCTAGTGTTGACCTACCAGAAGCACATGAAGCAATACAATCTCGATGTGAACGAGGCACAGAATTCCGAGTTATTCTACAACAAGCAGTTGAATCGTATCCTTTTGATTACTTTACTCTATCTCTGGAAATATTTTTACAGGGTGGTAATGACTGAAAATGAATGGTGATGTTGCTGATTTGGCTCACCTGAGAGGAATATAAATTGTAGTGTACATATATTGTACTACTATTGGGAGAATGCTTAAGATGTAAGTTCTTTTTTCAATGCGAATTTGTGGTGTTTTTATGTAATGAAGATACTTTGCATTTTGATATGATTTAGGAAGTCTGTTACCTTGCTGTTTACCTTACTAGATCTAACAGCGTTTTAAAATAACATCACTTGTTTTGTTACCTTTAAAGTAAATATCAAAATGAATTGGTAATACAGGCTGTTTTTATCTTTTCGTCATAAATGAAACAAAAGCTTGCACTCTTCATGAGAGCATTCAGGATTATTTGTCTTTAACTTTAAAGGCCGATTGAACTTGGATGCCATGTACACAGTTCTGGAGGAGCTAAGGAAGAGAGGTAAGGGCTCTTCATCTTGATCACCTTGTATATATAACTCATGAATTGACATCTTATTTCTTTGTCTTATTTTTTCTCTTTTCTTACTTTTGACTGTTTGTTGTTTTTTTTCTGACCATGGCAAGAATTTTTGGGTTTGTAAGTCTGTTATCGTAATATTCATTGACTTGAATTGTATGTTTTTAATCTTTTCAGTGACCTAGTTTTTAACTGAACACATGGAATATCACTGGCATTCTTCATATAGCTTAATGTGATATTAGGAATCAAATTGGAAGGGGGGGGGGGTGATTCTTTTCGTTGTTGTTGTTGTTTTGTGGGGGAAGGGGGTATAATATGTGTTGCGACGTGGTGGAATCAGGCGCTCGTCAATTTTTGGGCATATAAATGGAGTTATTGGTATCATCTTAAAACCTGACCATTTACCTTGCTTTTGGTGGGGGGAAAAAAATCCATTTATATTGAATAGAAGTCGAAATATTGGCAATTGAAGGAGGTCAGGGTTGCCTGGTTTCAGAGGTGAAATTAACGAGAAAATGGCAGTCAAAATTTGGTAACTCCAATACCTTAAGAGTATTTGAAAACTGAAAAATGACATATTTTGTGCCTTTAATCAATGTTTTTTTTATAGTAAAATCCACATGGAAATGTGTTTTTTATGGGTTTAAAAGAGGCTAAAAGCCAAAAAGTGAAATTTCGATAAAAAGTTTCCAAACTGGCAGAAAAACACTTGTTTCTCCAATTTTGCTATTTTGACGAGCGCCTGATTCCACCACGATGCCTCACATATGTTTTTGAGGCCCAAGGTGATTTGTGTGTCCGATGTTACAGGTAACTTGGAGTGGAAGGACAAGAACCGCTCAGCCTGTACCCTAATGTGGCGTTCACCTGCAGAATGGGGCAACATGATTTACAGCTGGGTAATTTGATAGACGTGGTTTGGGAATTTCTAATTTAATACCATCGTCTTTTTTTTTTTGGTTAGTGTTGTATGCACTCGCAACTGCATAATGTCATATGATATGGGTGTGGGAGACACTTTGAACTTCTACTATTGGTAGAAAATTTTGAATTTTGCCTGGGTGGCGGCCGAAGCCTACTCATGTAGATTTTTTACCTCCAAGGAATCTTTAACGTACGCAACTTGCTCACATGCTCTCCAATATTTGTTCGCCCTTGTCGAGGAGGCTAGGTATAAATCTTTCCTACCAGAAGGTCAGGGGTGTGGCTGAAAGACAGCAGTAGGAAGGAGCCAAGGAGTAGCAGTAGAAAGGCTGCAGGAAGAGTCAGGAGCCCAGAGGAGGGGACAGAGGAGGTGAGGGGGGGGGGGGCAGAAAGAGGAGATGAAAGCAGATGACAGAACATTGCTAGAGAGCAAGAAAGGATGTGAAAGGAGACAATTTTAGAGAAGAAAATTTTTCGGTCACTACCCGGATTTGAACTGGGGACCTTTGAATGAGAGGCCAACACCTTAACCTCTAGGCCATGAGAGCCCTCTGCCATCATCTATCGACAACCCATAACAGTGTTTCTGCAGAACCGGCAACCAAAGAAGAAACCTACTTCAAGCCTGCAAAATGCTCGCTGCTATTAGTTGGAAATATTGGCCCAATCCTAGGCAGAAAGACCAAAAACTGTACGAGGGCCTGGAGGACCTGTGTAGAACTGCAGCATTTGTACTATAGACGGGAATGTCGATGTAAAGATGAACAAGAAGAAGAAGAAGATATTTTCATAGTGTTGGTTTGGTAGACTAGCTGTGTATCATGCCAACTCACTGAACATCAGAAATGAGGTTCCAGAAATACTTGTTTTTCTTTTTAGTCAGGTCTTTTATCTGTTCTAAGAGTGCAATATTGATTTAATTCTTTGAGAATAAGTATTAATCATGGGTAAGAATTATTATTATTGAAACTTCATTAGAAGATGAATGTATAATTTTTTCATACTTTTTTAAATTTCAGATATATAGTATCATCATACAAAATGTCGTGATCCTTTTCATTCACTTGTCAAAATACTGACTGACTTTTGCTTTTTCCATTTTCTAATCTCTTAATTCGACTGCATATATGAAATTTGCGTTGTTTTTTAAACTATTTTCTCTGCCTCTGAGCTCACATATAAATGTGTGTGGGTGGTTGACGGGTGCTCTGGTGTTGTTTGCTTCTTATTTCCTGTAAAAAATCTATCGTCCTTATCTCTACTTCTTTTTTTGTGTGTTTGTTACTCTCTTGTAACACCTCTAATCTTCGGCACTTATATGACCTTATTGTATTGTAGTAAAACTAAAAAATTATAAATGTGTTATTTCCATACATTTTTAGACCATGTACAGCTCGTTTTAACATATTTCTTCTGGCTTAAATGGTGGGAAGTATGGGAATGAAAGGACCTTGTTCCAGAGTTCTGTTTACCATTAACATTTGATTAGTGGTTCTTGAAGCTGCAGCTCCTGCTAGGTGACTTTATTAAAATTCTTGTTTTTCTTTGTCAGATCTCTTCACGAGCAATGAACAATACAGTATGCACTCTGTTTGAATTATCAGAGGGTGAGGACAGCGTGGGACAAGGTGAGAATTTGAATGGATTTAACCCCTCCGTGATCTATATGACGTATGCTGTTCTTAATTTTTTTTCTTATGCGGTAAAGGAGCCGAGATACTGCTATAACGTTCAACATTCGTTATGCCTTGCGAAGCACGGGGTCCATGATGACGAACGTCATTTATCATTGGTTGTATTTTGCATATTGCTTCTATTAGATGCATTTCATAAAACTTATCACAGATTTACGTTCAGGGCTATTTTTTTTTCTGTAGAAAGAAATCTTTGTTTTGTAGAGATAGCAGTATTTACAAACCAGGTCCAATTATATGTGGCTGACCACTAAATCTAGCACTACTTTGTGTCCCTGGGGATCCAAAACTGTGTCTGGTGGAGCACGAACTGACCCACTATCACGAAAGGGTTAACATATCTGTTGCTCTGTAGATAAGCTCTATATATTAATCGAGTTTGTTACCCCACTATGAGAAACTGGCTGCCCAGGAGCCTTTAGCACAACAACAAAGTGTTAAGGGCTTAGACTATCAGGTATGTTGTTTTGACTGCCACTACAGTCGCAAGTAACTGTTTTCACTATATGTTCGGAATATTTCCACTAAATGAAAAAAAAAAATGATGTTTGGCCTTTTACTTTTTGACAGACGATTTTAAAGCAGTATGCATGATACAGCTGTGCCTAGGTTGTACACATTGGGCCAGTAGATTGCCCTAGTACTATGTCCCTTCCTTCAAATCTTGACTTCTTTGATATGCTCTAAAGGATATCATCATCTATACATTTGAAATCGAGGAAGGAATTAGGGTGAGGAGGAAGGAATTAGGGTGAGTCTTTTGAGATATGGAGAGTAGGTTGAGTGTGGGTTTTTTTTAAGTGACACAACAGTTGGCACCACCAGTTATATGAAGAGAGCGATGAAATAGATTTCTTGATGATCGTCTTTCTGTTCTCTCAAGAAGAAAGTCCTTATGACATGTGTAGCTCAGCATTTATGTCAAATTAAAACTTGATGTTATTATTTAAAGGAATTGTCAAGCATAAGATGCGACATACTTAACTTCCTGTCTGCCCATGGCATACATGAACTGCCTACCTCTGCTGTAGTCGCTGCTGTTCCCAAGTTCAGAATTTTTTAAAACTGCATTATTACCCCAGCTACGTCTGTGACTCTGTGTCAGTTGTGTCAGAATGACTTGAAAATACGCATTGGAACATACACAGGGGACAGCAGTGAGAAATATGGCAGGAAGACAGTGAGTTGTCAAGTATAAGATGTGACATACTTAACTCACTGCCTGCCCATGCCGTACATGAACTGCCTGGTGAATGTACCCCTATTTCCCTTAAAACAGTCATGTTAAAACTTGGAACTGCTGAGCCTAGAGACCTAGTACAGATAAATGAGACTCTAAGTGAAAAGAATAAAATTACATCAAGACTTCAGTCCAATTTTCTTTCTTTTTTTTTATCCTCAGATTTCCATGGACTAGACAAGGGAATTTTACTTCGAGCTCTGAAATCTCTTGAGGCAGAAGGAAAGGCAGAAGTTATAGACTTTGATGGGAATGAAGGTGTAAAGTTCTTTTGATACTAGTGTTATGATAATTATGATTCGTAAATGTGAGTGTAAGATCTCCGGTGATCTTTTTGGCATGTGTGTACTGTTCCACGGGTGTTGAGTAAGTGTGAAAAGGGAGAGATTTGAAAATAGTTCTTTTGTCATACTTTTGATAAAGAGGTATAAGTGTGCTTTTTTAAAAAATTTATTGTTCACTGCAGGCTTAATGAGATTGAGCTGCCCAGTTGTTGGGCATTTAATCTATCTTCAGGTAAATTCTCTTTAAAATTAGGTAGCATTAGGAAATCATTCGTCGCTCTGTTGTTATTTAATATGCTCCTGTGGGTGGTTGGCGGGTGCTCTGGTGTAGTTTGCTTCTTCTTTCAGTGAAAAAAGTAACCATCTATCTTTTACCCTTTGAGAGGCGCTTTATTTTGCTGTGTTCGTTCCCCCAGGGGCGCGTTAATTTTGAGAAATTAGTGAAAATTCAGGTGGGTTATCATAAATCCTTATAACTTCATTATTTTTCAAGATAAGACAACAAACCATGCATCAATGAACTGGTAATCGAATACAGAAAACAAATGTTGTAAAAAATTTCATAGCTGTATTTGGACTTACATTTCGCAGTTCGTTTTTCAGTCTGTTTTTGTCTGTGAGTTACTCCCGGGAGGTTACAGTCAAATTCCTCGTAGTGTGATAAAGTTTCAAACAGCCAGGGACACACAGGGCTACATCACATTTTGTGCACTGGTAGGCAGTCTGTTTTCCCTTGAATCCAGTCTTGTCTGCCCTATTTTCATAGCACTCCGAACAGTTTCGCATTGGGGGTTTCCGCTTTGCACCTGGTTTTGGTGTGAAGTAATCTGGGGTGTGACCAGAACTGGGTACAAGTCGTTGGAGACCGTTTGCAGACTTCCTGCCCCTCCCTGAGGGTTCTGGATGGCTGGAACTTTCAATAATTAGCTGCTTGATGATCTCCATCCTGAATTCATAATGGTTGAGGGGCTGGGGCACAGTTGTACGGTATGAAATGTGCAGATTGCAGTCATCAGCAAATGGAAAAAAAACGTTTTTCCACCTCTTCACAGATTTCCTCACACGGGAGTACTTTTTTAGAATTTGGTCAGAAGTATCTACACCTCCCATGTGCTTTATATAGTCCTCAATGCTCTCAGGTTTTGTCAGCAGTTCTCTTGGGAATAGTGACCTGAGTGCCGAAGTGAATAGTGCTGAGCATGTAGACATCACGCTTATCATGGTACCTCAGGGCAAATAAATTATCCCATTAATGAAATACTGGTTCAGGTTGTCTAAGCCTGATGTTAGTAGAAGCTTTCACGGCTTCTGGGACTTCTTTCCTATATGATCTGAGGGTCCCACACGCGCCAGTGCCACAGAAGTAGAGTTCATCAAATACTTCTGGGCTCACAGAGTAGTTATCTAAATAAATGTGGTTGCCCTTGTTCAATAAGCCACAGTAAGCCAGAAGCCCCACCACAGTCTTTGTAGTGACCCCACTGTCTTCTGGTAATTCCACCAACTTATGGTAGAAGTCCATAGCGTTATTGCCTGTGTAAACACGCATACCGAGAACATAGCTCGTGTCAGCTTCACATGCCTCGGAAATCTTTATTCCAAATTTGTAGGTTTGGCTGGGTTGTACACTTTGAATCTTAGTCTCCCTTTCCAGGGGCATGTTGCCTCATCAAAACTGATGTTTTGATATGGTGAATTAAATAAAAAGTTTCTTCACATGAGATTGTCATGTAGTACTCACTGGAAATGGCTCTTTGCAGGATAATAATAATGATAAATGACATATATATTTGTAACGAGAAGCTTCTCTCCACGTCTGCGGAGGTGCATGTCTAAAAAATGTAGATTAGGTCTAAATACAAAATAAAAAATTCAATATCTGAAAAGTGGTTATAATAAAGAAATAAAAGAGCCTTGATCGTTTCTTCCGACTGCGACCTGCGCCTACAATTAACCAGCAGTTTGTAGAGAGAGAATCTTCTCTCCACGTCTTCTGAGGTGCACGTCGAAAAAATGTAGCGCAAAGCCACACCAGAAAGGGATGGCACGACATCTTTTACTGACTTCCAGAAAAACCCTACGTTTACAACAACCCCATATGTTGAGGCACTCACTGCCTGAGGGGCCGGTGATGTGACGTACCGCGTCAACTCCTCAGGTGCAATGTCAGCCAGGCCAGGGATGTGCTGGTACTCCTGCTCGCCTGAGGGCATCAAAACAACTTTTGCTGGGTCAAAGAGTCTTAGTTCTTTTAGGAAATCTATCCCAGGTTGACCCTCCAGAGTTAAATACTTTGCTACCATGGCTGATGTCCCAATGTAGGCCTCTAAAAAGAGTTTCCGCAGCCCCTCCTTTTGATCTGGCATCATTCCTGTTGTGAAGAACTGAGAGGCCTCAGCGTTGGAGACACCAGCTTCCCCCATACATGAATTCCAGCTCATCCAAAGAGCTCCATGAGAAAAATATCTGAAAAAGAAGAAAAAAAATTTTAATCTTCTGATTTGGAAAAGACCAGTACTAAAAAAAAAGAGAAAGAAATTCCATCACTCCATACAATGGATTTTCGTGAATGTAATATTGCATTGTTCGCTTGTAATAATACAACATTCATTTCGCGCAAATCCGCATTACATGCGCTTTTTTTACATAATGTTCATGAAAAACATGCATACACACATCATACATGCACATTCTAATAATATATATATGCAGTTCCACATTCACTCTACGTTCATTAAAAAATAACAGACTAAATCAGTGCAAAATATTGCATACACTCTTTCTCACTAATAATGGGAAACAATTGAGACTCCTATCAATGTGAAAAGGGCCTTAATTACAAATAAAACAAATTACAGTGGAATTCTGATATCGACACTTTGATTATTGAATGCACTCTGACTCTGATGATCTTCCAACTCTTGTAAGCAAAATCAATGTAGTATAGATAAACTTTCGAGAAAAGTCTTTACCTTTCAGCATCATCGGATGATTCGTCGACCATCACGGCAACAGGCTTTCCGCTTAGCTCCTGTTTCACCTGCTCCTTTCTCCCAGCAAACTCTTTTGGGAGGTACTCTCTACGAAGCTGTTGTACACTTGGGATAGCACCCCCATTCACGACCCTGTCATTGAGGAAACGCCTTGCAGCAGTGTGGTCCGTCTTGCTCAGGGGAATATTCACAGCAGCACACACACCCACCCTTTCCTTGCAAATATCGTTCGGTTCTGAGAAATCAATTTCATCAAATATAAGAGTCACTCTCGAAGAAGACTTATATGATCTAGCTAATATGGGCCAATTTCAAAAGCCTGTATCAGTTATAATGCCTTTTCTATTGAGCATCTATCATGTCCACCCCCATGACGCGCAAGGTTTCTCATGCCTCACACGTGTCCATTCAGTGACATGTTATCAAGTGTCCCATACTGCTCAAAAGTCTAAGAGTGGTAGAAATCTGGCCAAATCCCAACAAACCCTTCCGCAGAAAGGTCCACCAACTAGACCTATCTCTATCAAGATCTAACAACAATCACAGATTGAAGTCTAGATGACTCTTGATCTACAACAGATCTAGGTTATTCCATTTTAGTAGCGCGCATCATGCCAGACCAGTCACCATTAGTTTACCTAATAATAGTAGATCTATTGGTAAGCCCTTTACTCTTTTGACTATGATTTTAAAAATATCTTCTGGCATGCAAAACCTACAGCTATTTTTTAGGCTTATAATTTGGATATTTATCTTTAAAAAGTGGATTATTGGGCTTTAGATCTATATCGTCAAATAATAGATAGAGTCTATACTAGATATAAAGAATAAGAAGAGTAGGCCTAAGAAGTAAAAGTTTGGGTCAGGGTTTAGACAAGTATTTTACAAAGAATAACCAGGGTTTTGGATAGGATGGGAACAATAGTGGGTGTTGTACGCAACATTTACTTCTAGATCTATAATTTAAAATCACAATAATAGACGTACCTTGTGCAGAGATGGTACTCGGAGTCTTCGAGACATTCCCTTAAGTCCTTTGTTTCTTTGTTGGTCCTCCCTCAACAGACTGCTCGGCCACCCGCTTCACTGCTTTCTTGTGTTTGTCCGTGTCTAGATGCTTTCGGACTGAGGACTTCCTCGAGTGGTCCACATCCAGGTTGCAGGGGGGCAAAACAGTTTGTCCCCTGACACATGCCTTAGGTCCTTAAAGTCTCGCTGACGTTGGAACAGGTGTGACCATCGTGGTGTATTGACTACATTTGGCGGTCTTCTTGATAAATTGATCCATGTCTAGATTAGATCTACCCTCCAAAATCCTCCAAGCCTAGATTTAAAGTCTTTTTACCTGTCCAAATGAATGGTCCCTCTCTCTCTCAACAATCGGTTTCCTCAACATGCAAACAGGTCACAGGACTAAGTGAAGACAAAGGAAGTGGTAGATCTATTTCTGGTACGAATTGTTTCCCCTGGCATCGTTATTTTTACTCATGGAAGAATGTTTTGTGAAATTGTATTATTATTTTCCAAATTTTTGCGGAAAATCGGATGAAATTCGCGAACTCACGAAAATGGCAAAAGTTGCCGCTCGCAACTTGTGGGTTTTGCGCGCAAATTCCTCTGAGGACAGCCTAGTACCACACTCGTTCTATATGTTTCAGGCGCTGTAATTTGAGAGCAGGTGGAAAGCCACAGCGATTGACTGTCCCTGTGAAGATGTATGTCCTGTGTGCTTGCGAGTATTTGATAAGGTCCATGGAGACATAAAATCTTTCACTGTGTGTGTAATGTCCAGCACTAAGTGGGCACTTAAGTTCTTCAAGCACCTTCACGGCATGTGGATCTGATTTATCCAGGTGTACACTGAAAGAAGTTTCACTACCAACATGAATGAGGAGATTCACTACGTACCTTGTCTCACTGTTGACAAGTCCGAAGACTTTGACATGATATTTGTGTGGCTTTGATGGGTTGTACTGTTTGTATTGCCACCGCCCTGTCCCGCATACTATCATTTCATCAAGAGATATGTCTTTTCCTGGGTAATATGCGCTCAGAAAACTGTTCAGGACACAGAGTTTACAAATGGCACTCATATGACCTTATGCAGTTGCGAGCGCCGTAAAACCCTCTACAATTTAAAAAAAAAAATTTTTTTAAAAGAGTTCACAAAAGGTTCAATCTTGTCTTTGCCTTCTGCTGTCGCTGTGCTCGAACAGTGAAGCATCTTGAGGTATTTGTGAAAAAAAGAAAATTTCTGTTCATAAAATTGAACAAACAATTGTCATTTGATGTGATACTTGTGAGGCTTCGCCTGGTTGTATTGTTTGTTAACAAATCTGCCCTTGAACCCGATGATCATCTCATCAATGCTGAGGTCTTGGAATGGGTAAAAAGCAGTTTGAAATTTTGTTATCAGTTTATGAATGGCCCAGTCTTCTCTTTACCCTGAGCACCAGCTGCACCTGCATGGAGCATTGTGTGATAGAGTGCGAGAAACAGGTCTGGTGGAATCACGGCGTGTACCATTGAGACAGTGTTTTCCTAAATTAATCTCTTATGCGTGGCCTCTTGTCCATACCCACAACGATCATGACCAACAGGAATCGGAGAAATTCTTCTCGTTTGATGGGTGTCCAGTTAATCTAAAGCGTGCGCCGTCTGGGAGGATTGTTTAGTCGATCCTTTAGACGTCCATAGCCATTGACGGGTGTAACCAGTCCTTGAAAACACATCACATTTGGGGCTACTCATGTTAGAAAATTGTTTTTCATTCCTATTTCTGCTCTAGTGCAAACACAAGTTGACACGTCGATTTCCTCACCAATATTAGTCTTACTGGCTGACACGTCCTTTTTACTCTTTGTAGCAGAAATGCATTCGATGGAGGCAAAGGTTGTCTCTCACTAAGTCAAGTGGTGTGATAAATAAAAGAGTAGACAAAGGTGGAATGATCTCAATGTATCTAGATTGTGTCTTCGGGGAGTATAAACTATGACTGGATGTGTTAATACAGCTGAGAGTTCATAGGGAGTCAGTTGTTTGCACGCAGGTATACGTTACATTGCTTAGGTTGAACTTGATTTGAATTTGAATGTATTTTTTTTACCTTGAATTTCAATGCCCTAGTCATTTTTCATTGGTTTCTTGGGTTTTTACTCGACCTGCAAAATGTACATGGCTAAAGTTGTATATTGATGTGTTCAAATTTTCAATTGGTTCTTAGAGTAAAAAATATTAGTGGTTGCAAGATTGTTCAGAATATATATAGAAGTAGAAGAAATTGTACGTTCTTATTTGATGGGTATGTCAGTTTGCATACAGAGATGAAGCTGTTAAGATATCCAATAAAAACCTGTTTTGCAATGTACATTTCTGTTTCAGTAGGTTTTTAAAAGATTTGTATACTTGTATAATGTAATGCAGAACATTTGATTTTGTCATAATGATTTTGAAGGGCTGTTGGTGCTCTGTTAATGTGTGGTTGGCGGGTGCTCTGGTATGGTTTGTTTGCTCTCTCTTTCCTACCAAACATCTCTTGTCCTTATCTCTCCTCTTTTTTTCAAATATATGTTACTATCCAGTAACACCCCTAATTTTTGGCACTTTTATGACCTAATTGTGACGCAGTGCCATAAAATTCTTCTTAAACTAACATTTTGTTTTTGTTTTGTTTTTATTTCATAATAGTGGAACAATATAAGATGTGGCTGTCTGAAGTCGGAAGTTGTTTGCAGTTACAATTGTTAAGACAAACCATTATAGTGCCAACTTTGTGTTGTTGTAAGCTTTAACTCAGCGTAACTGTACAGAGAATACAATCTGAGAAATATTGCATTCTATTGTACATGAGAGTCCACTCAAATCAGAATCTGCAAGACTGCCGTTTGTTTTTTTCAGTTTAGCTGGGTTTTCAGTTTAGATACTTTGCTTAAATTATAGACCAAAAAAAATCAGATATTTTTTTAAATTTCAGTTTACTGCTGTTTTTGGGTTAATGGAGTTCAGTTTAACCCTATCCATACGTCCTGTTTAACTGTCGTATCCATACGACGTGGGGAACTCTGTGCCACCACTTTCCAAAGAGGAAATTTACTCGTTTATCCGATCGGTACACTTTGCATAGCAGTCTGTCAAAATGATTTTTTGAGAAATACTGAATCTAAAAGTATTCTAAAATGTGAAGAATATGACCCCAGGATGTATGGTTAGGGTAAAGCAATTCCACTGTATTTGAAGTTCTTGCTCAGTGTAACATTAAGTCAAGTTAAGCACTAAAACACCTCATAATAAAGCAATAAAGATAAGGCTTCTACTTGAAACTTGATCTACTTCTGCTAAGACTAAGACACTACGGGGTGGATCCCCTCTTGTTTTTATGCATTCTTGAACATAAACTGAAGTTAAGGAGTAAACTACTTTGTACAGATTAATCTAACCCTTGATGTTTCATGGCTGGTTCATGTCCATATATGTAAATACAAACAGACACACGTCTTTTTTTCTGGCCTATTTGCTTAATTAATTAATCATAATGTTGGTGAGAGAATGAGACTGTTGTTTCTTTACCCAATGTTGGTCACTTTTAGTAACTTTGGGTCAATAAACTTTGTTTATGATATGACATAATTTACTTCTCTATTTTTGGTATAGTTTTTGATCGACTCATTGTTTAATGTGAGCATGTGCTTATGAAGAAATGCAGTTTATTTCTTTTAATACTATGACTGGATAGTCAACATTAAGTTGGGTTTTTGTTTGTATGTGAAAGGTCCAACTCCGAGTCATCTGTCCCATCGTCTTTTGTTGTTTCCCTTACATATTTATGTACAATATAATGCATCTGTGTAGACCCTTTGGTGGGGGGGGTTTGAAGGCACCACTGGTAGGTCCTGCTTCTTTTCCCTTCTTTCTATTAGTTTCTGTCTATGTCACTTTTATCCTGTTCTAAATGTCAGCTATCTTGTCGAAGTCAGTTTGCTTCTGTGTACTCAAACAAGACCTTCTAACAGTGTCTGATGTAATGGTTTGGCTCTTCCCTGTTGCACGCAGACGTGAGCGCAAATCCTGTGTTTGGAACTCAAGTTATTTTATTGAGTATCTTGACCTGTCTGCTAACATGTTGTATCCGACTGAGATCGGGTTGATCCTGAAAGTGAAAGGAAGGGTTAAAGTAGCCCGCCTCCTAAATGATTCAAAATCTGCCAATGGTGGTATATACCTTGTAAAATCAGTCAGTGAAACATTCTGTGTGGGTAGTTGGCGGGTGCTCTGGTGTGGTTTGCTTCTTCTCTCCTATCAAACATCTATCGTCCTTATCCCCTCTTCTTTTTTATGTTTGTTACTCTCTTGTAACAGCTCTAATCTTCTGGCGCTCACATGACCTTATGCAGTTGCGAGCGCCGTAAAACCTCTACTAAAACTAAAACATTCGGTAGCACTTGAAAATTCAATGAAAAGAAATGTTGAAGAACATCTTTTTATCTGCTCTCACTTAAAGTATATCATACGATTCTTCTCCAACTCCAAAGATGTCTGTTCTGTGCTTCTTTTTGTACAAGTACAAGTTGGGTCGAAGTATTCCCTAGCTTCTTGTATTTTCGTTTTGAGGGTTAAGACAACTGTACGTACAGAATCATAAAAAAACAACGAAGTCTATTTCGCATTCTTTATTTCAGTGTAAAATGTCAAGGCACTGTGGTGGTGTAAATAAAAAAAAATTTTGTTTAAAGGCTGTGGTGTATAAGAAAATGTCATTCATGTGTCTGTGTAATTCAGCTCTCCATTTTGTTAGAGAAAAGTAGAGTCGAAAAAGTAAGCTTTCTTTTACTTTGATGTGTGCAGGTGACACCCTCCTTTACTCTGAACACACGTAGCTTAATTTAGAAGTTTACAAACATGTGGCAGCGAATCCATGACATTGCGGAATGTATTGAAGTCACAAGCAATAGCATAACAGTACAGTTGATATGATGCCAACTAAATGAAAACAAAGTTTGAACTGACAACGTGATACATGTACATATTCATTGCTGCTGTCAATCGAGAAGATGCAGGTACAATGTATTATGACTAGAGGTATTTTTCAGGGTCAGCAATATTTTCTACATTAAAAAATCTAGAAAAACTTCCTAAGATATTTTTAATTATTGTAAATAAGTGTGTGCAAAATATGAACTGGTTACTGAGGATTTGCGGGCGATACGTCCAAATCCATGCTCTGTAAAACAGTATCTTTATACACGAAAGCAAATTGATTTGGTGTAGGGTTAACCATGGTGTTATGCAGCTTGCTCACTACCTCTGCATTGATAGAAGTTTGTTTCCTTTTATGTTTTTATTGCTTTATCAGAATCAGATTCAGGGAACCTGACAAGCCCTGACACATCCTCTCTTTATTTCTTTATTTATATATATCTCTCTCTCTCTCTCTCTCTCTCTCTCTCTCTCTCTCTCTCTCTCTCTCTCTCACTCCGTCTGTTTCACTCTCTCTCTGTTTTTCAATTTCTTACACCTACTGTGGCGTACGCACTCTCTCGAAACACTTTTTTTTTTAAAGCAAAGCCGCTTATTTATGTGCACACACTTCCCTTCACATGCTCATACAGCACCCCTGGACAGTTCTTAGTTGCCAGTTGTGGGAGAGAGGCATGTGATTATTCATAGTTTTGCTATTCAAAATGCACACATAATATTCTTTTTCAGACGCGTTACGTTACGGGTCTTTTCAGCTGTCTCGGGAACAGGACAAATGGTCTCAGTCTCAGTTATAATAATCTCATCATTCCTGTCAGAGGTCT